CTTGTTGAACGTGCTGCCGCTTTACGATCAATATCTAGAGAATCTGATACCAGTCCTCGAGAAGCTGGAATATTACACGAGGACGTCGCGCCGTTTCGACCAGCTGTGCCGTGACTTCGAAACCCAGAAGCACTGTTACCTACCGTTAACGTCATTCCTTTTGAAACCACTGCAACGATTGTTGCATTACAACAGTATTATCGATAGTACTGTCTCACAATCTTTCTTTATTTTGTATCGTATCAATTCGTATCGTATAACGCGCGATGTTTTCAGGACTATTAGATCACTATCCGAAGGATCATACGGATTTTGAGGATTGTTTGGCTGCGCGGGATCGTTTAGGCGAATCGTTGCTCGAAGGTCTTAGCATAATTAATCAAGCGGTGAGTGTATGCTCTCTTGCTGCGTTTAAGAGTTCGATAACGATGTATTAAATTATTATCTGTAGGAAAACCTGGTCCAGCTTTGCGAAATGCAAAGGGACATCAGCGGTTTCGATAACTTAGTACAAGAAGGTCGTAGATTTATTAGACAAGGGTGCCTGCAGAAGTATAGTCGCAAAGGTTTTCAGCAGCGGATGTTCTTCCTGGTAAGCAGCGATAGTGTACTTTTTTTTCGCAATTCATATCTAATTCGAGTATTCCATAGTTCTCGGATATATTACTGTACACATTCCGTACTCAACAACCAAATCAGTACTTCCGGGTTCACGGGCAACTTCCGTTGAAAGGAATGAAGATTCGGGAGGGTGACAACAAAACCGGAGCGGACTTCGCGTTCGTGATCGAGGCTCAAGGAAATCAGTAAGCGCGGTGTCTTTTGAATGATTATGTATTTAACTTAACGATGTGTTAGAGAATCTCTGTCGCGGCCTGTATGGTTGTTAAGAGGTCATTGCGCCAGTAGAATGTTCGTTTAAGTACGCTATTCTTCCAATGACAAACGCGCCAGACGTTTTAACTACCGATTACTTTTCACTGTGTGCTTTTCTACTTTACTTTTATCTTCGTCTTCGTCTTTCAAACACTGATTCGTTTGAATTCATATTTGGTCAGGTCTTTGACAGTTGCCGCGGTTAACGAGGAAGAGAAAGAAAGGTGGTTAGAAGATCTGAGTATGGCCATAGCACATGCTGACGCGGATCCGAAAATGCCGTACTTGAATTTAAATACTTGTAGTAAGTGCAATCCTGATTCGATAATTGTACGGTATAATTTTTCATTGCGGAATTATTATACGATTGATCAAGTTTTAGATTCTACCGATGAAGTGAGCGACAGTATCGGGCTAGAGACCGACAGAGGAAGTTGCGGGGGTGCTAAAGCTTCTCAACGAATCAACACCACCGTACATGTCTGTTGGCATCGAAGCACGAGTATCAGTTACAGCGATCAACTACGAGCGTTCCAAGTTGTATTCAATCACTGATGCAATCGGGTTATCTCTAAATCGCATCGACAATTATTTCACCATCAATGTAACGTTGTTCGTTTACTAGCGCATTTAACCGACCATGTTGTTGATGAAATTGATTGTAGATGATTTTAAGATAACTCTTTACACGTATATTCTATCCCGCTGGTGTCTACGTACGTGTTCATTTCGTTTCAGAACCAACTCAGCGGATTTCTGTTAAGGAAATTTAAAAACAGTAATGGTTGGCAAAAGCTCTGGGTCGTCTTCACCAACTTCTGTCTGTTCTTCTACAAGTCGCATCGGGATGACTTCCCGTTGACTAGTTTGCCGCTGCTAGGATATACGGTGATGACGCCATCAGAAAAAGACGGGATCAACAAGGACTTTGTTTTCAAATTACAATTTAAGAGTCACGTCTATTTCTTCCGCGCTGAGAGCGACTACACGTTCGGACGGTAGAGATGATTAAGAAATTTAATCACGTATATGGAGGTCCGATTAACGTACCTAACATAACGAGACTGTGTTTTTCAGATGGATCGAAGTAATTCGAAGCGCGACGCAGCAAGGCCACGTGTCTGGTAGCTTTAACGGAAAAGAAGGATATTAACAAACTTGTTCTCTAGAACAAATCGATATGATATTTTTTATTCTACGATGTACAAGTTGGATTGTTCGAATTGAGAAATCTCAAAATCTTCGGGGAAACGATATTCGATTTAGTAGTTAAAAAGTTTAGTAAATGAACAATTGAAACTCTGCGGCCTTATCCGAGGACTGAAATCAAAGTTGTACGATTAAAATTGTAATCGACAATCAACCGGAGATCATATATCAAAAGTAATCGCAAAGACTGTTTCTCGTAAAGAGATTAAGAATGGAAGCAAAACATTCTACCCAGGGGAAGCATTTATGTTATGCTGTTTTTCCAAAGCCCCGTTAATTAAACAAGATTGCGATGTCAAAGATCACATCGCATTCTTATCGTTCTCCTTGTATACTTGAACGAATGACGCGTACTTGAAAGATATGTTTGACAAGGGTGATATAATTGGCCTGTAAATAATAATAGCGTAGACATCGAAGCGTTCGTTTTCTGATTCATGAATCTGATACCAACACGAATTTACAATGGTTGGAAGAATTATCGACGCATCTCACATTAATTTTATGATTGAAATACCAATCAGGTCAACAGATATCGAATTTCTCAGGTTACAATTTAATATTGCACTAATTACAAACTTATAGCCACTGTAGACGCATACATTCAGATTGTCGATGAAAGCTAGTTGAAGTGAGACGGAACTTCGATATTGTGAACGGTGAAAAAGTTTAGGTATTTAGCGCGTAATCCTTGGACCAATTTTATAATGGAACTTTTTTTAGCGACGTACGTCTTTGAAAGACAATAATTTCGTTAGGGTACTAGAGTTTTTTTCCTCGTTATTAAATCAATATTAAATGAGAATCTATTTTCTAGTTATCGCTAAGGATTTAATTATTTCGTGATTCTCTTTTGCCCGTTATCGCGGCTATTTCGAGGCGATTCGCTCGGTTCGATTACACAAAAACTGGCTGTACGAATTGGTTTTTTTAAAAAAAGTTATTTAGGAGTCATTGTGAAGGTGACCGAAAGATGAATGCGTGTATTCGGAACGAAAGGATCTTTGCAATAATACGACACAAAAAAGAGAAGCTCGTAATTTAATAGTTATCTGTTTTTTAGTTACTACAATTGTTTTGTTATAATATAGAATTTAATTAATATATATACATATATGACATATATATATATATAAAGAAAAAAATTAGTTTTATACTCGAAAAATCGTACTCATAAACGCGGCGCTGTTTCTTCAGCAGCCTTCTCTTAATTAAAAGAAAATGCTCGCGTACCGCGCTCCAAAGAGCGTCGTTTGCCAAACTCGTGCGTTTGTTTATAAAACAATTGTACTCGTTTCATAACGTACACTTTAAAGAATACGTCGTTATGCAACAATTATGTATCAATATTCCGCAATAAACGTACATTAATACTTTTACTCGTTACACTTAAATTCGACGGATTAAACGTTGACAATTTCCTGTTTTACATGATGACCGGTCCCATAAATCATCCTTTTTCTCCTTTGTATTTTTTACCATTGTATCGATTCTTAGTATATAGAAGAAAAAAATAAATCACGATGCAGAGAAGGTATGCTTTTTTCTGGAGACGAGAAAAGCTGGAAATACCCATAATAGAATTATTATAGCGAGTGCGAGCGATATCTGACAATCGTTTCCTCGGTAAACGATTAACTGCGGATAAATCCTGTTCATATTAAATAGCATAAGCAAATCCGGTCAGACGAGTCTTTAAACGTGAGAATCGGGAATGCAAACTATCCTCGAGCCGTCAGAGTAAACGATAAAAATCGCGATTCTTTGATAACGTACGAAGAACGAACGCGTTTCCGCGAAACGTTCGAGACTGCGTTCGGCAAAAGCGCGTGCAAAATTGCAGACTGCTGCTGTTACATAAAAGCAAGAGAGAAGCTCTAATAGATAAAATGTTACATTTGGGTCAATGTCTAAAATACAACTAACTCGGGGTTATCGCAGTTTACATTCGCGCGATGCAATTTTTTGGCATACCGTAATCGATGTCGTTCGTTAACTTTTTTGGTGGTAACGTGTTTTCCTTTCAACGATTGTGTGTACTTTACGTTTAGCATTACGCCATGTCGCATTTACATACAATTACTAAAAATAACGATGAATGAAGTACATAATATTATGTTGGATATTTATGTTCTATCGTTGTCAGTTTTCATCAATTTGAATTGATTTCCGTGGTGAAGATCACCCAAGGTTTTATTATCGATTTGCGCAGCATCATTGATAATTTCTGCTTGCGCAGCGAAGCGATCATCGTTGGTGAAACAAAAAAACCGCGAAATTTCCAGTGACGTAACTCACGCAACCGCTAACTGGTTTTACCGATAACTATCTTTTAAATTTTTCTCCAACTTTGATCGGGAGGTACCCTGGTTCCTGGGAAATACGATACAAATAGGATACAAGGCAGATAAGATAAAAACCCTTTTACATAAAAGATAAAAATGAATTCTCTTAGAGGAAAAAGATATTACATAAATAAAGGAAATGATGAAGGGATAGCAAGAATTAATAATACTGAAACTTCAAGGATTTCGAGTTTGAGATGACAAAAGAACAAAGGAAAATACTTGAGATTTATTTTATAGTCATTCGAGTAGTTCAGAAGCATTTGGCGATGATATAACTTTATGTACACTCAGAGATGAGGACCCGCATAATATAATTTCGCAATTGACGAGGGACTACAAAAAATTATAAGATACTTCGAGATTGACGAGTTCAATGACGTTAGCCTGGCGGAAAGGAGATAATTCGGTGATCGATACGCATCATCATCGGTTACCTTTAGCCTTGAACAGCGGCTGTTTTTTTGGCCCCGTTGTGCCGTTTGATGGTTTGATCCGCGTTCGAGGAATCGCAGCTGAGGTTACAGGAAGAATCGTGTAAAATCAGAGTGGGAGAGAGAATATAAAGATGAGCGTCTCGCGAACAGTATGGGAATAGAGGAATTGATCCAAACGTCATGAGAAGATATCGAACGATCGTGCTACTCGCTGTGTTAGCCCTGCTCTGCATTCACGTGCAAGGTATTTTATTTTATAATACTATTCTTTCAGTTTCCTTATAATTATATTTTAACAATAATTACAATTACAAACGGCAGTCAAACATGTTTTATTCATTTTACTTTGAGACGCGTATTTCTGATGAACAATTAATTTCCTTAACTTGACTTAACAACTTATGGACGAAGACAGTATAAGTTATACGAAAATAAATTTAAAACTTTCTTAATCTTTTCTATACAATGAAATCAGCTAACGTACTCAAATATTAATTACTCTTTAAATGTTTAGCCCACGTGAACAGAGTCAGGCGACACTCCGGATTTTACTATCCTACTGATCTAGCGAAAGCTCTTGCGAATCCCTACGGAGGTTCCGGTGGTGGATTCGGTGGTGGATTTGGAGGCGGATTCGGTGGCGGAGGCGGCGGTGGTGGCGGTGGTGGAGGAGGGTTCGGCAGCGGAGGCGGTTTCGGCAGCGGCGGCGGCTACGGTGGCGCAAAAGGCGGTGGATGTAGTACCGGGAGCTGCGGTGCAGGTTCGGGGGCAGGCGGTGGTCACGGTGGTGGCGGAGGTCTCGGTGGAGGTCTCGGTGGAGGTCTCGGTGGAGGCCTCGGTGGTGCCGGAGGTCTCGGTGGAGGCGGAGGTCTCGGTGGTGCCGGAGGTCTCGGTGGTGGCGGTGGCCATGGAGGCGCCGGAGCTGGAGGTGGTGCCGGTAGCCACGGAGGCGCCGGAGCTGGAGGTGGCGCCGGAGCTGGAGGTGGCGCCGGAGCTGGAGGTGGTGCCGGTGGATACGGAGGCACCGGAGCCGGAGGTGGCGCCGGTGGATACGGAGCTGGAGGTGGTGGACACGGAGGTGGTTCCGGTGGATACGGAGGTTCCGGGGCTGGGGGTGGTGCTGGTGGATACGGAGGCACCGGAGCCGGAGGTGGCGCCGGTGGATACGGAGCTGGAGGTGGTGGACACGGAGGTGGTTCCGGTGGATACGGAGGTTCCGGGGCTGGGGGTGGCGCCGGTGGATACGGAAGCACTGGAGCTGGAGGTGGAAAAGGTTGCGGTGGCGGCAGCTGTAGTAACCTTGGATCTGGCAGCGCAGGAGGATACGGGGGAGCAGGAGGTGGGGGTGGCGCCGGTGGTTATGGAGGTACCATCCTTTAGAAGTACAAAGACGACTGATTAATTTCAGCGTAAAACGTATACTAATTTTTATATGTTTTCTCCGCTACTAAATTAGGCACGGGATCAACTGGAGTAACAAAAACTGGTGGTTACGGTGGAACAGGTGCAGGTGGTGCCGGAGGATATGGTGGAGGCGGTGCCGGAGGGCACGGTGGAGGTGGAGGATATGGTGCTGGCGGAGGTGGAGGTGGTGCTGGAGGATACGGCAGTGCCGGAGGTGGAGGTCTCGGTGGTGCAGGAGGATACGGTAGTGCCGGAGGTGGAGGTCTCAGTGGTGCAGGAGGATACGGTAGTGCCGGAGGTGGAGGTGGAGGTGGTGCCGGAGGTGGAGGTCACGGTGGTGCAGGCGGATACGGCAGTGCCGGGGGTGGAGGTCTCGGTGGTGCAGGAGGATATGGCGGCGGAGGTGCCGATGGATATGGCGGTGCAGGAGCAGGAGGCCTGGGTGGTGCTGGTGGAGGACATGGTGGAGCCGGTGGCCTTGGAGGTTATGGTGGCGGCTGTCCTGCTGGCGGATGTAAAGGAGGTGCAAATGCCAATGCCAATGCCAATGCCCATTCAAATGCAAACGCCTTCGCAAGCGCGAATGCTAACGCTCACGCTACTGGGAATGCGCTTGCAAGTGCTTCCGCGTCAGCGTCCGCGAACGCTGGGGCTGGATACGGTCTCAACGGTGGATACGGGCCAGGCGGTGGCGGCGGTCACGGAGTCGAGTACGTTTAATCACCATGATTAATTAGATCTAACGCGTTACTATTGATAGTCTATTTGATCATTTGTTTAATTATTGTAATAGTCTCTTCAGCCGTATGGGCGATGTCGACGAAGGGGTGAACAAGAGCGGCACCGTGAACGGTGCAAAGGGTGTCTACAGCAGCAGCTCGGCCAATCTCGATTCTTCCGGGAAAGGATCGTACAAAGTTGCAGCCGGGAAAGTCGTTTAAATCGTCTCTTTTATCGAAGAGTCGATTCTCAACTTTAAGTCGATTCAGAGTCTCATCTGTGATCAGCCGTAAAAAATTTACGACTCAGAGGCTCGTGTGGGCCTCGACGAAACATGTATCCATTTTTCCTTTTTCTATCCTGACCTAGTCCTTTACATCCAGATGACAAATAAAATACACTGGTATATATCCCGTCTTTTTGAAAAAAAAAGCAACTTCGTACGATGTGAAGTTTGCAAACTGTTTCAATAAACGATTGATCATTATATACTTATATATTTATGTATTTAAAACGATTAAGTCATTTCCTGCAACACGTGTATCTAAACATTTAATTAATTCTCGGGTCTTGTTTATTACCCATCGATTAGGCCGGATTTACTATCGAACTCGCACGTGTTTCCTCGAAGCGTAAACGGATTTGAAAACGTGGAATTGAACGTCAATCATAATGCATCGCGCATTTATACGACTTGTTGAATAAAAATAATTTTTTCGAGGTTGTCGATTAGAGAAACGATATATTTAAACCACGGACTCGAGATTTTTCCTAGCCGGTAATGAATAATTTATGAGCTAACGTGTACGCGTCGCGCAAACTGCGAGTATCTTTGGCATACCTATATCATACATACACGTATCAATTACGTAAGCGGATTTCTCATAATCGTGCCGTTACATTTACATCCATTTTTAGATGTCCGTGTCAAAGACACAACTCGTTACCAGGCATAACTCGTTTAGTTACTGTCCAATTTAATAGCCATTCTCTGCGAGTAAAGCTGTCATTACCGGCGAAGGTCGCTGTTCATTTTCGAAAGGCAATTAACATCACACTATGATTCTTTTTAAAATTCTTTATTTATTCATTCGATTCTAATGATAAAAAAACATGGTATGTTCACTTAGAGGAATCAGTTATATCATTATCTAGCTGAACATCAACTTGATAGCGATCTCCACGTAATAATAGGATAATACAATCACTTCGAGGAATCGGCTTGTATCAATTATCTAAGTAAACGCGTAGGATTCTCCTACAAAGAAGAAAACATAATTCCATTCTCGTGAGGCTTCTCGCGTGAATTCGACGGATACGAGAAATAAATTATCCGCAATAATATAAAATAGATATGATACAGTAAATGTAGTTTGAGGAAACGGCGTTTAAATTCTCTGAATCCAATGGTTATCCTTTTATAGGAATTTGCGAGGCACCTGCAAAACCTGGAACAATATTTCATTATATAGTTACGAACGAAATTTTTGGATATTTAAGATACTTGAATATTAACAAAATTTGACTTACTGCTTGCGCTGCTACTAGCGTAAGCGGAAGCTCCGCTCGAAGCCCAGGAACCACTTCCGGCTTGAGCTCCGGCTGAGGGCCAACTTCCGCCGTTAGGGTGTCCCAAACCTGCGCCTGGCACTGAAACGATTATACAAAAATATTTAACGATACAACGGATATCTGTTTGTCAAATGATAGAATCAATTACGGATTAAATATCAACGAAAAGAAATATCGGATTATAAATATCAACGAAAAAAATTAGTAATACGTAAGTTGCACTATTACGAAAGCCTCTGAAACAACGAATCGATAAATATTGATACGCTTATGCTAGAAATTACGTGGAATACGATAACTGTGTTATGCTTAGATTGCAGATAACGCAATGTAGTATAAAATGAAATTACGCAACATCATTAAGAGAGCGGAAGCTGTTCGGTGCGATCGGTGATTGTCATTAATTAACAGCCAGAGAGGAGCCGCTGCTAGTGCGTCTGATTTATGTTTTATTGTGAGACGGGCTTCATCAATCAACCGACCGCGCTGAAAACCTTGACGCGTTTTCCCATTGTTGAACACCTTCATTTACATCCACTCAATTATATTTAATATCTTGATTCGCGATAAGTTTGTCCTTTGACCTTTGTCTGATTCTTTTCCGTTCCAGATCACCCAGGAACTTTATGTAACAATGGAGGTACGTAGAATCTCGTTAGGAAGGTCGTTATCCCTGTATTCCGAACCCAGCACTTCGCGACTATTTTAAGACAACGAATCGCAGTTCCAAACGAGATGAACAGAGCATCAAGTCAAAGTAAATAATTTTGTACCAAAATGCTTTGTGCGGGTACTGAATAAAGTAAAATTGTTAGGAAGATTTAAATTGTACCTCCAGAACCGGCGTAGCTAGAAGCAGCAGCACCGGCAAACGCTCCGCCGAAAGGACTTGTTCCATGTCCATCAAGCGAACCGCTGTAACCTTGAGGACCGATTCCAATGCCTCCTCCTGTTCCCGATCCTAGATTTGTTCCAATTGGACTCTTCACACCTGAAGAACCCGAAGGACCAACCGTGCCGGGATAATTATCGGAAAAAGTCGTACTTCCCGTATGAGTTCCATCGCTTGAGTATGTTCCCGTACCCGGGGCAAGAGATCCATCAGGTGGGCCTATGTCTCCTCGCGAACTGCCTGGAGGATGTTGTCCTTGACCTCCGAGAGGACCAGATCCAGGTCCGTGCAAAGGACTGCCTCCGCCGATGGGTTTCGACGATCCACCGTCTGGCGAAGGAAAGACGTTGCTAGATTGCCAAGTTAAACCACCGGTATTGGAACCGGAAGAATAGCTAAGGGCTCCAGCTCCCGCTGCGGCGCCAACACCTCCTTGCAAAAATGGATTTCCATAACCGATTTGTTTGGTAGCAGGCGGTGGCAAAATGTTACTCGTGGGACGTGAATCAACTAAAAACAAACAGATACGAACAGTTTCTCAAAGATTCTTTAAAAAATTAATTTGATTGATCGATTACCTGATGGAACAGGAATATTTCCATTTAGATAAGGATTGTGTGGGTAGGACCCACCTCCGGGAATTTTATTCACGTTCTCAGTTTTACTGTCGTATGTCGGAATGTTCGAACCACCCGAACAACCGCTGATACCTGGTGCACAACCTTGCGGACCGCTTCCGACCCCTCCAGGACCAGATTGATACGAAGGTTGAATTGATCCGGGACCAGGTTGATAAGGAGATTTGGTAGTTCCAGTACTTCCATATGGACCAGGTTGATAAGAAGGTTTAGTTGATCCGGGACCATCATAAGGACCAGGCTGATAAGGTGACTTAGTGGTTCCAGCGTCTCCGTATGGACCAGGCTGGTAAGAAGGTTTAGTTGATCCGGGACCATCATAAGGACCAGGCTGATATGGAGATTTGGTGGTTCCAGTGCTTCCGTGTGGACCAGGTTGATAAGAGGGCTTATTAGTTCCAGTTCCTTCGTCAGGTCCAGGTTGATAACCCCCGGTACTAGGAAAGTGTGCACTTGGAGTTGTATGAGGCTTAACTCCCACGGGACTTCCCGGCGCAGGATTTACATTTATATAAAAAATCTTGCTATCGCCTTCTTTGGGTGCTGGTTTCCCGCCAGGTCCAGGTTTTCCTTTGACACCATATCCCGGTTTATGACCTCCTTGAGGACTGTTTGGAAAGCCAGGAGAACTTGGTGTTCCAAACGGGGAGTTATTGTAGGGAGATCCAGAAGTTGACGACCCAAATGTTGGTCCACTTCCAGGCGTCGTACTTCCCGCGTTGGCGAAAGCCACGCTAGAACTCACAGCATTCACATTTGGGTTTTGTGGGAATCCAGGAGTACTTCCTGGTTTTCCATATGGTCCCGTGCCCGACTCATATCCGGTTTGTGGTGTTCCGCTTCCCGGTTGTTGCCCTGCAGGACCGTGCGAAGGACCAGAAGGTCCGTATGGCGACCCAGGATAACCAGAGGTGCCTGGAGTTCCACTTTGAGGTCCTGTATTCGGTCCATATCCGGTTTGTGGTGTTCCGCTTCCCGGTTGTTGCCCTGCAGGACCGTGCGAAGGACCAGAAGGTCCGTATGGCGATCCAGGATAGCCAGAGGTGCCCGGAGTTCCACTTTGAGGTCCTTTACTCGGTCCGTATCCGGGTTGTGGTGTTCCGCTTCCTGGTTGTTCTCCTGTAGGACCGTGCGAAGGTCCAGAAGGTCCGTACGGTGATCCAGGATAACCAGAGGTGCCTGGAGTTCCACTTTGAGGTCCTGTACTCGGTCCATATCCAGTTTGTGGCGCACCACTTCCCGGTTGTTGTCCTGTAGGACCGTGCGAAGGACCAGAAGGTCCGTATGGCGATCCAGGATAGCCAGCGGTGCCTGGAGTTCCACTTTGAGGTCCTTTACTCGGTCCATATCCGGTTTGTGGTGTTCCGCTTCCCGGTTGTTGCCCTGCAGGACCGTGCGAAGGACCAGAAGGTCCGTACGGTGATCCAGGATAACCAGAAGTACCTGGAGTTCCACTTTGAGGTCCTTTACTCGGACCATATCCGGTTTGTGGTGTTCCGCTTCCCGGTTGTTGCCCTGCAGGACCGTGCGAAGGTCCAGAAGGTCCGTATGGCGACCCAGGATAACCAGAGGTACCTGGAGTTCCACTTTGAGGTCCTGTGCTAGGACCATAATTGGTTTGCGGTGTTCCACTTCCTGGATGTCCTTGTCCTGTTGGACCATAGCCAGGTCCAGGAGGACTACCTCCAGGACTTCCACACGCAGCATAAGGGCCTCCAGAACATCCTCCAGTAGGGTTCGTTGAATAATCGGGAGATCCTTGATTCGGGACGCCTACTACGGCGAATGGTATCAGAGACTGTTTCACAGGGCCCTTGCCACTCGGACCTGAATAAGGATCAAGTAAAAAAGAATATAATCCTCATATAATGCATCGAAACGTCGTTTACTCTTAGAGATTCCTTCAAATCATGAATATTTGATTAAGCGAATTATATTGTGTGGGTCGAAAAATTGTAGCTGACCTTGAGCACAACCGGCACCGGGTTGATGACTGCCAGAGCATCCAGAACCTGTTTGGGGTCCATTATTCCAACTTCCACTCGGCGCGCCCGTGTTTGGTGTATTTCCAGGACCTGCGTTCCATCCCGAACCAGGTTGCTGTTGATTAGTTGGCTGATTCTGTCCAGGATGACCAGGACTCTGTGGTCCATATCCGGTTTTAGGCAATCCTGGATGTGGTCCCGCGGGGTTATACGAAGGTCCAGAAGGACTGCCTTGTGTCGATCCTGGATATCCTTGACTTCCTGGAATTCCACTCTGAGGTTTTGCACCAGGATACCCTCCTGTTTGTTGCGGTCCAACGCCATAAGCACCAGTGTTTGATCCTGGCTGCCAAGAAGGACCTTCGCTCGGAGTTGCAGAACCAAATGGTGAACCACTTGCCGCATTTCCACTACTTCCAGCAAACGTTCCCGTAGGCGCTCCTATCTTATGGACTCCTGGAGGCGATTTGCCTCCGTGTTCATGCTCTCTGTACTGTCCATCGTCACCGTCGTCGCAATCGTCCTCTTCAGGCTCAGTTTCGTCTTCCTCTTTTTCCCAGTAATCATCATCTTCCCATTTACATTTCGCGCAATCAGGGTTTCCGTGTTTGCCTTTTACTCCAGCGTCTCGATTGCCACTACCGGAACTGTCGTAGCTACGAATTCCTTTGTGTCCGTCGTGTGTACCGGTACCAGGAGAACTTCCGATTCCGGTGAACCCATTACTGAATGGAAACGCTCCCGCGCTCGCGTACGCGCTTGCAGATGCACTTGCAGACGCACTTCCGCTATTTGTTCCGTACGCCTCTATAAGCAACAGTCAACATCATCATCTAACTTTGTTTACTGCAGCAAAACTATCTATGAACTGATTGCAAATTCTTAAACAAACATTACAACGCTAGTTATCGTGGATAAACACATAAGCTTTGAGAAAAACGTAAAAAACGTACCTAATCCAATAATGCTCGTTGCGATTAGAAAAGCGAACACTGACAATCGGTTCATCCCGCGTTCACTTAATATCAAATTCTTGATTGACTCTTTAAACTGATTCTTCAAAACGATCGAATCCTCTCAGTTGTTGGCTCTTATTGCCAAGCCTCGAACAATTGCGAGGTGAATCCCAATCGAATAGTTGTATATATAAGGATGCCCCCGACGGTGAAAGGATGTGCCGTGACCGAGGATCATCCCCGACGAACGAACGACGTGGGTGGCAATGAATAACGCGGCAATTGTTTGACTCTTTCTACCGATTCGCTGAGGCGACAGACCAGCGACTGGTTTTCAGCCGGCCGGCTCGTTCGGTTCTCGACTTTACGTCATTCGACTTTCGGAGTTTCCACAAGATACATGGCGTAAATTCCCCTCACGTTCCTACCGAGAGAGAACGCCAGCAAATGGCATCATGCAAATTGGAGCGCGACACTTGCAAGCTTCGTCTCCTTCGAATTTTATTTGCGACGTGTCGCACAATTATGCATTCAGTCGCGGCGCGCATTCTTCGTCGATGATTTCTTTGCGATTTTCGGCTTTTGCGTTGCGGTTTACTAGTCAGTTACCAAAACAATTTAATCTGACTGAATCCAAATGAATTATCTCAACTCCAATACTGCACATTTTAGATTCGAATCATCTCTTTTCGCGAACGCGGCCAACTTTCCACGTTCATAAAAAATTATTACCTACTTGCATGCCGCATAACTATTACCATACGAATGATCCTATGCGTCTTCTACGAACCGCGAAGAGAATTGAGAATCAATGTGCAATTGTTACCACATGACCACAGAATTATTTATAGATCGCACGCTTAATCATCATCTAACTTTGTTTACTGCAGCAAAACTATCTATGAACTGATTGCAAATTCTTAAACAAACATTACAACGCTAGTTATCGTGGATAAACACATAAGCTTTGAGAAAAACGTAAAAAACGTACCTAATCCAATAATGCTCGTTGCGATTAGAAAAGCGAACACTGACAATCGGTTCATCCCGCGTTCACTTAATATCAAATTCTTGATTGACTCTTTAAACTGATTCTTCAAAACGATCGAATCCTCTCAGTTGTTGGCTCTTATTGCCAAGCCTCGAACAATTGCGAGGTGAATCCCAATCGAATAGTTGTATATATAAGGATGCCCCCGACGGTGAAAGGATGTGCCGTGACCGAGGATCATCCCCGACGAACGAACGACGTGGGTGGCAATGAATAACGCGGCAATTGTTTGACTCTTTCTACCGATTCGCTGAGGCGACAGACCAGCGACTGGTTTTCAGCCGGCCGGCTCGTTCGGTTCTCGACTTTACGTCATTCGACTTTCGGAGTTTCCACAAGATACATGGCGTAAATTCCCCTCACGTTCCTACCGAGAGAGAACGCCAGCAAATGGCATCATGCAAATTGGAGCGCGACACTTGCAAGCTTCGTCTCCTTCGAATTTTATTTGCGACGTGTCGCACAATTATGCATTCAGTCGCGGCGCGCATTCTTCGTCGATGATTTCTTTGCGATTTTCGGCTTTTGCGTTGCGGTTTACTAGTCAGTTACCAAAACAATTTAATCTGACTGAATCCAAATGAATTATCTCAACTCCAATACTGCACATTTTAGATTCGAATCATCTCTTTTCGCGAACGCGGCCAACTTTCCACGTTCATAAAAAATTATTACCTACTTGCATGCCGCATAACTATTACCATACGAATGATCCTATGCGTCTTCTACGAACCGCGAAGAGAATTGAGAATCAATGTGCAATTGTTACCACATGACCACAGAATTATTTATAGATCGCACGCTTTGTTAACGGCGTTCCATCAAACGTCGATATCCTGGATGGAAGATCGTATCGGAATTAGGAAAAACCATACACCTTTCGATCATTTCGATCAGCTTCAGATAATTATATGATCATCGTTTCAATCGGTTCATAATTCAAGTATTTCAAACAATAATTACGTCTATCAAAAAACCTTGCATCGTATAAAGAGGTAAAAAAATTGTTAGTTAATTATTTGCAATTATTAATAATCTTACCTTATCATTCTCTTCCATCGAAGCATAGCTCTGAAACGAACTGACAAACTAATTGGTGTTAGAGAGAAGGATTAAATCATGACACAGTTAGTTCTTTTTTAAATTAGAAATATGTAAGATTTATTTACAAATTTGACACCACATGGGCAAATACATAAATTCGTCCCATTCCAGGAATCTCGACGCGTTCAATAAATAATACTATCACGATCGTTACGAATTTAAAATAAATATATAGCTTTATAATTGTCGTCGGCCTAGAATTTCATTCGTTTTACGTATCCATGTACGTATATGTGTGTATTTACAGTAGTAAGAAAATCGATTGTCAGGCTCGTGAGTCGCCTTACATACGTGATTTTTACTAATTTCGTTAATTGCCCGCACGAACAAATGTTCGTTAACGGTCTGTACGGGCGTGATACGTTTGAAGGAACGAATATCATTCCTCGGATATATAAAAGGCAACGTGCTTTGCAAATCGTTGCTGCTTTTTAATGACATACGCCTAAAATGCATAGATGAACGATGAAACGGCGATCGTTTACGATCGATATCACATAGCTGATGCGCCTGAATTCGTGCGCAGAGCTACATGAAAAAAAAACCGCTTTTCTTATTTAATCGAGAGATCAAGCTACCTCTCGCACTCCTCCCACGCATACATGCATACTAAACTTTTAAAACCTATGTACGTGCTGCACGTACAAAAAATTGCACACTTCACAAGTACGATACGTAGATAATTGACACGCTGTGATATACATAAGTGATTGACAAAAAATAGCGATTCGCAATACTTTCTTTTCTTATCTGTGATTTGACATTTCATCCCTCTAAAAAGAGGAGGTAAACAAGAAACATGACGCGTTACACGTGACTCTCGAGAGGCACCTTAAACACTTTGGAAGCTAAGCTGGTGTCAGGTAACGATTGCGGACGAGCGTTGGTCACATTGAAGATGACATTACTCGGCCCTCGGAAGCTGACCTCGATCAGAAAACTAGCGTCGGTGAGACCGATTCGACCGGTGCTCAGATCCGGTGAGCTCGTCCTCAATTGACTCTTTTTCGGCCTACACTCGTTCCTAACTACCCTCTCAGTTTCAACCTGCAACTTATTGTCCAACCAGTGCACCTTGTCGAAATCTTTCGTACCGCCCACTGTATGCCTTCGCTTAATTGATCGCTCGGGCATACCGTTCTTTCTTTTTAATTTCGTCGCGCTGTCCTTTCTGACGGACTGCCGCCTCTTGCTGATGTTGCACTCGGTTTTCTCTGTTTTTGTCAACGACTCTGACCGCTTTAGTTTACTATTCGGCGAGTCGGACCTCTCCGAGTGTTTGTTCAGACTCTCGGACCGTTTCAATTTGCCGTTGGTCGGCGACGAGAGCCTCTCGACGGAATGCTTGTTCAAACTCTCGGATCTCTTCAGCTTAGACGAGGTGTTCTCAGACCTCTTGTTTAAAGACTCCGATCTCTTTAGTCGCGACTTCACCTCAGAACTCGTTAGACTCTCAAATTTCTTCAGTTTGTTCGAATAATTTGAGTCCGCTCCTTTCTCGCCCTGCGCTGATGCCGTCGCCTCTTTCTCGGTTCTGCAATTCGATTCCTGAATTTCTGAGGACTGTTCGTCAACGGTGTCCTTGCTCGATCGCAATTGTTCCTGCTTCGACTCAATCCTTCTCCGCGCTATTGCGCTTCGATCGTTGTCCGGTATGTCTACCGCGGCACCAACAGGCTCGACACTTCCGCTATTCTCCACTACCGATGAATCTGTATCCTTCTCGGGGGCGTCCTGGAAATAAACGCCATTATCGTTAAGTCTCTCCTAGCGCATAAAAATCCGAAATCGTTCATTCACTAGATACACTTACATTTTTCTGCCGTACGTGTTGATGTTTTTCGGTGGACATCTTGTGAAGACTCGGATCCCGGTAGTTATCGACAGGGCAGGAAGAATCAGCAGATTTAGAAGCGGTCGTCTTGCGTCCATCCTCGTCTTCCCCCTCTCGCGATTCTTCGCGCGAAGTACGCAAGTTCTGCGAGTCCCGCGTCACCGTGACATCCTCGTCGCTAAGAGACGCATTCTCTGTTTCGGATCCACGGATAGTTGGATTCGACGAGTTTACCAGGGACCTCCACTTACGATCGAAGGTGGTCGTCAAGCTGGTCAAGAGATCGCTACCTGAAATAAAATCGTTTCGCTTCAGTCTTTAGCTCTCCGTCCGTCCTATGCCGATTAGCGAGAGATGATGTCTGGTATAAGTCGGAAGCGAACGATTCAACGTAAGACACACACAAAGCATCGAACAGTGCTCGATTGTTCTCGACTGTAAAAGAAAATTATGGTCGTCCGCGTAGCAACAAACAACGAGCGTGACAACGAACTTTCGAGATTGGTTCTTAAGGGAGCTTCCCTGGATTAACTCCTTTTGCTTGAGTTGATATCCACTTGAATCGCAGATCTTGGTTCTTCCTTCAATTCTTGCTTCTCGATCAACGACATGAGAAGGGAGAGATGAAAGAAGCGTGAAAGACGGAAAACATGTGAACGGCACGAAGTGTTGAAATCGTTTTAACTGCTAGGCTTCTTCGTTGCGTACAACTCAAAAAGAGAAACGGAAAACAAACGAGAGTCAAAGGTACTTATTAGAGGAAACGGGCACGCAACAGCAGCAAACGAAGTAAAAAAGAAAATTATCTGTAGCTCGTCGAAGATTTTACGTTGGATTCTTTCCAAGTTGCTGAGCAGTTTATTAGGCGTTAGCAAAAGGAAGAGGAAAGACAACCGGTAGGTAGACAAATAGGTAGGCGCGATGTTGCGACAAGAGTAGCAACATACGATTCGACGGACCGACGTTTGATTAAAAACAACAAAGTCAAAGCGAGAAGAACATGGACAAGACACACACGTGTGTAGTACGTATGAGGCTCGAGGAAGAGTTTGTTAGCAGAGTGTGCTCAGCAGAAAAAATAACAAAGAATGTGCGAAGCCATTCGTGTGAGCCAGCCTTAGTCGAGAGTAGAGTTTTTGCGATTTGATATTCCTGCCTGCAAACCAGGTGGTGATTTACCTCTAAGGAACCTGTTCAAAGTCTTGGAAGATAATCCGGCGCCCGAGCTCGAGGACACCCCTCGCGGTGGTGACTGCTCGATAGGCTCGACGCGTTCCGAGGCCGGGAGCCCTGAAGAGGGTGACCCGCGATCGTTGCCGGTTGCAGTTGCGTCTGACACTGACACTGACCCTGATCCGGGCACTTGCACTCGGCCTGGCATCGACATTGGCATGGGCATTGGCATTGACATTGGCATTGATATTGGCATTGACATTGGTATTGGCATCGGCACTGGCGACGGGCCCGGTGTCTTCGTGGCGGAGCCAGCGGGGCTTCCGGCGCCGTGCAAGTGGGACGATATGTACCACCAGAAACCGGGGTTTGCCGTTTGCCTAAGAGTGTTCAACGCATTCGTATCGTCATAATCGGGCACATCCCATCGAGAGTACGTGTACTAACAGCTGCTTCTGGCAGTGGCAAACCAGCGTGTGTGTGGTATATGTGTATGTGTGAGCAAACGAGCAAAACGAACGCCAAGCGAGTCTCTCCTGCCCTTCTTCCACTTCTACACCTTCCTTGCTCTTTCTATCGACTTCGTTTTCGTTTACACTTTACACCGATCGTTATCGATTTCGATCGATATTTATTTTCTCCTTCTTCGCCTTCTTTCTCTTTCTCTTCCTCTTCCTGCTGCTTTTCCTCTTTCTTCCTCGCGTCTCAGTTTTCCCTGGGTTCTTTAGCTTTTACCGATAACTAACTGGTCGAACTACTGCCATCAACTTTTACTCAAGCTTTTATCTTTCGACTGTTCAACGTACACACACACACACGTACACAGAATAGATCGGTACGTCGCGAGCATATCAGGGTTTTTTGGAGAGAGAAAAAGAGGAAGGTAAAGTAAATAACAGAGAACGAATTCTATACGTCTAGATTGCGCACACCTAATCTGCTGGCAGCTAAAGTACATAGAGATTTTAGGTGAGACTCGTTTGAAGATCGAGTAAGAGGCAAGTTTCAACGCCAATATCAAAAGCGATCGATCATGCAAACTTCGATATACAGACTCAATGGACTGTCTTTATATTTTCGATAATCAAGATATCACGAGCTCCATGTAGTACACATGCAAGAAACAAAAATTCGATTTTCTCTGCATTGGAGCATTGCGCTCAACACAAAATCGTGTGAACGAACTAGTGGCTATTTGATGCGGTGTGCCTCAGCGCTTTGTCATCGAACTTCCGTGGCAAAACGGAAGAGCAAAATGAGAAAAGAAAATATTAAAGAAAACAACTGTAGCCGAAGAAAATGTAATCGTGCAGTATGTACCGGGCAGCGGTTGGTTGTAAGAGTCGCTTGAGAGAACAGCGAGAGACAAGAAGAGTAAAGAATACCTAGAAAGCTTTTTGTTAATAGTCAGAATCTTCTGTGTCCATTGCAGGAAACAAGATCCAGCTACACTCACCAATGAGCGTCAGAAGCAACGTTATACAGAGAAAAAATATAGAGAGAATAAATACGTACATACACAGATAGATAGGATACTTTTCGATTTGATTCATTTCTCGATAATTAATAAAATTCACTCGTTGCTAAGTAATCGATTCGACTGATCGAAGACAAATTTTGCCAGAAAAGGAATCGGGGAACTTGGGGAGAAAATATTCGGAAAAAAAAAGAAGTGCTTGAGATACATACTAACAGAAATAATACATATCGATGTATTGGTACTAACCATCGTCCGATACGTCGCTGGAGATTGGTTTCCTTTGTTGGCTGGTCGGCGAGAGAGACGTTTGAGAAACGTCGTGCGTTTCGTGCAGAGAATCCAAACTGCCGTAACGAATAGGCGGTAGTGTCGAAGGTTCCAACATCTGTTAAATATTAAGAGTTGCCAATTCAAGAAAGAAGATACGTGAAGCATACTTAACAATGCGAGATCATAAGAGTGCGAATTGATATTGCAAAAGGAACAACTCACCTCTGTGCCAGTCTTCAATTTTTTGATGATAGTGTTCGAAACGTTCTCTGGAGACAGAATGGTAGATGACTCGTCAAGTTCAGCGAGTTGCGATACTCGTCGAATTGCGGACGTGGGTTGCTGCTGGACAGCTATCGAAAGAGGTGGAATTCGACTCCCGGCTGAACGAAAACCGGTGAGATTGGAAAGACGGGACGCGGCCGCGAGATGATAAGCGGGGGTTGTCACCGTTGTGTCAACTATATTGTCTAGCAGATCGTCGTCCTCCATTTCGCGTTTCGCTAATTGCCATTCCAACTCGATCCTCTGTCGTTCCTCCTCTCTCTTCTCGGCCTCTCTTCTCTGTCGATTCTGATCTCTTTGTAACATCGCCTTCGTCTCTTGCTCGAATTTTCGTATACGTTCCTGAGTAGTCGCGCTTAATCCCGCGTACGTCCTTATCGTGATCTCATCGTTGCTTTGCTTGGTGTCGTTTGATGCACTCGAGAGCGTCGAGCTCGCGTCGAAGCAGCTCAGGCCAGTCTCGCTAGAGAGTCGCGACGACTCGGAAGCCGACGAGACGGCCGAGCGATGACTCGCTGGATGATTTAAATACTTTTTCGATTTTTCGTCTGGGCCAACGTCACCATGGCTGTCTAACACATCCCGGCTGCCGTCGGTGGTGCTGACATGGTCGTTGCCGCTGGACCCATCCAGAGGTGGAGATCGGTTCGACTGACTCTTATTCTCGTGCATCAGAACGATCTGGCTGACAGAACACTGCCTTTCACTTAGCGCCATGCTTTGCCGATTTGGCAGGCTTTCTTGTTTCGTTCTCGTCTAGATGACAAACAAATACAAGCGTAACGCGAATTGTGCTACATTTGCGTAAACGCAACCTTGCATAATATAAAAGCAAACCTTATCGACTTGGTGTTGAACTTCGCTGTCCGTTTCGTCTTGACATTTCCGTCTTCTCTGAATCTTACGATTAGCTGCAGATATGATCGATGATACAATGTCCTTGGCTGATGCCATCTCTCGAACTCCTACGCGATATCGAATTCAATTAAAAAAATTTTTAGTTTAAGATAAATAAAAATCGTACCTTCCATCTTATGAATATTATTTAATAATAAACTATGATTGTTGCTGGATGTCGCGGCTTCGATCTCGCTAGTATCGGCCGGAAGACTAAGATTCACGCTCAATCTGCTCAAATCGTCCAGGTCATCATCCGAGAAGAACCAATCAACCTGTAATCAAATTATTCCAATTAACTTATCGCTTCTCTTTTTTCTTCATCCATTTTTTACCTCTTTTACGTACATTGTTCAACAAACTTTCAACTATCCGACACTGGTGCGACATATCAGTGACCATTGTGACCATGTTGTCCCTGGAACCGCTCGCTCGCACCAACGTGGGACCGAACACGATGGCCAAATTTTTCGCCTCCATCTTATTCACCTCACTGTGCTCGACGATTCTTTTCAAATGAAACATCAAATACTTGAGAGTTTCGAAGTGATGATCCGGAAGATCCCTGAGCAATTTCCTTATCGTCGTCATTCGTCTTTGAGGATCTTCAACTTTATCGGCATCGATAAACATGGGGTATAGCTCAGCGGTGAGCAATGAATCAGGAAGCTGCCGGAAGAAAGACTTGAGAAGAGAGGATATCACATTCACGTCACTCCATCTGGGATCCTAGATAAAAGAGAAACGTAAATAATATATATGCGGGGTGAAAATATCGATTGACTTACCTGAAGATTAATATTCTCGAAGCCTTTATTCACGCTCTCCGTCAAGTGCGAAATGGCTGCGGTGTTACCTGGAACTCTGTAGATACCGATAACCTCTAATCCTCTTGCTTCGACGATGCTCGTGCACATTTCGACAATAAGCGGCACATATTCCGAGAACGAAGACTATTTGCAATCGAGAAATAGTGTTAAAATAACAGGTTTAAACAAAAAATAAGATTGCGATAGTTGATGGATAATTACTGGTCGACATAGTTCAAGCGGTACTTTGAAAGTAGCACCCTCAGGAGGCAGTTGCGTGGTTGGCGAAGACGGGGATCCGGTTTGACCGTGCATTCTCCGAAGTTGCTTCGCTACTCTACCCTTCCACGTTTTCGTTTTCGGAGATACCAGACTCTCGATCGTTTGGCTTGGTTTTCGAGACTTATTTATAGGCGACTGCCCAGTCGGAGATCTGTTCCGGAACGATGTCAGTTTCTTGATACCCTTGTGTCCAGGAAGAGGACTCAGTCGCTGACCGCCAGACATCACCGCACCAGTATTTGCGATCACCTGACTCGACGTGGAATTGCTAGTCGGACCTGGAGTTTGTGGCACAGCTTGCTGCTTCAGAGTACTGTTTTGCGCGATTTCCTGAAACGAAAAAATATGCGAATAGTACGAAACGAAATGGCACGTGAGAAATGGAGATCGTCTAATGCTTTCAACTTACGGACGGCTTCTCAGCGGCTGCGTGATCGTGCAGTGCTCGCAACCAGAGCGCCATGGACGCTGCATCCTCGGTCTGCAATAAAATTTCTGTACTGTGTGGATTCGCCAGCCGCAACACGTGCTTTCGTTTCGTGTAATCCTCTGCAATGTCTACCAGGGAACATCTCACGTCCACGCTTTGGACTACATTTTCACCGTCATTGGATAACGAAGGACTCTTAAAAAAGAATGAAAATCGACATTGATCCGTGGTTACTTTCATTTCTCCATCAAACACTGTCTTATGCATACTTGATTTTGACGATCCTTGTAGAAGAAGAGAATTGGTCCACGTAAAACGCCCCATACTTGCTTCCATGAACGGTCAGAAGATCGCTGAAATTACGTAATGAAGCGTAAATAATGTTGAATGCATTTCTCGAAGAATTTATCGTGCAATGAATAGATGGACAAGCGTGCGTTTACCTTGCCATCGATTACTGTAAACTTGACGTGCAGAGGTCCCTCTCGTTCCACTTGTTCGATGCTTTTCGTAACATTTGCCGGTGCTTCTCTACCAGGATAGGTGGGATTACCGCTGAAAAAATAGGAAATGCTTCTTTGAAGGCTCTTAGGTGAAAGGTGAAAACAGCTGAGAGTATGGTCCATGATTTTGTTTTGCATTAAATGTTAATTTTACACAACAACAACGAAAAGAGAATGCGTTTTGACAATTCGACGACAATTCTCTTTCCTTCCATCCGTTCCATCCTCCGAACACACTGAACTCTACGTTGAAGCAAAACACGATATCTATCTAGTGTCTAATCAATCAAGCACAGATAAAACAAACTACCAAGTGTGTGCAGCCGTTATTGTTAATCCTCTCCGCGATTAACGCGCGGCTTCACAATGAATACGAACAAGTTAGTGCAGAGAGAAGGAAGCCTTGTTTTAATACGTTGCGACGATGTTCGAAATCACGACAATAATGACGACGACAACGGAAACAACCTAATTAGCTGTCGTCGATTCCAAGGCAGACTAATCCTCACCGATTAATATGTCTGTTTAAGCTAGTGGATTGGGTCACTTCCTCGAAGATGCGACGTAACGATGCTATATCGTTTCGAAGCAGCGGCGGCAGCCGCCATCTCTTATGAACACTGAAAATATGGACGGAGGCAAAACTTGACGTATGCTATCACTTCCGACTATTAATTGTAACTACACAAGGCCACCTAGCCCGATACGCGACGCTGGAAGAGATTCTGATATACGTAATGCAGGAACTTGATATACACGTACATATGTACATACACGTGGACTAGTTACACGAAAAACAGCTTGTATGCTTCTGAAAGGAAACGCGAATGATTCTTTAACTGGTTGGCTTGCCTACCTCCTACAACTGTGGATGATAGGCTCGGAATCGCTCAGCTCCAAATCACTATCGACGTGTATTCGCTCACCCCAAGTCGCCTTCAAGTACGACACTCTCCTCGTAGCACGGTCCTCGTCCGCTGGAATAAATAAATAATATTCTTAATTTTTCAATATCATTGCACAGATCACTTGAGATTCACTTGCAAAAAAAGAGTTCTACTGTACCAGACACGTTTACTTACAGATTTGCGTATTCTTTTGCCGCCTGAACACAACGCCACCATTTCTGTGCACATCGCTGTCTAAAGACCGAGTTGAGAGCACACCTTTGAATTAATACACAGAGTTTCGTTTGTGAGAGCAATTACACAACTACGTGAATAGGCTTTTGTAAGATCGCTAACCATGTTCAGTGTCGATGATTTTCTCGTTCCCATCATCGGACGCGTCAACGTAACCACGATTTTCCTCAGTCTCGTTCGCGTCTCTTTTGCGTCCAGTCTCATCTTCTCTTTGAGGCCACTGGTGCCTGTTCATCAAATCGACAGAATTGCTTGTGGATTCCCATGATTCCGCGCTATTACTACGAATTCTTGATGGTCCAACTTCATTGTACACGATCCTTGAACTCAGTGTGTCTGCACGGATCATAAAAGGAAAGTCTTAATAAAAATGTTTGATTAAAATTAAATCGAGACAACATTTATACGGAGTTGCAATGTTAAGTCTCTCGATACAGAGGACACGAGAATGCATACAACTCTTAAGTATCAATGTGTTTCGTGCAATGAAATTCTCAAAAGCACAACATTAAAGCAGACTCGGACAATTCCACACCACAGATACAACTGCACATTTTATTCAAGTTTGTATTAGTTGACATACTGGGGCACTCAACACTTAATCAAACTCGGCTCTTTCCTCTACCTTGTTGAGCACTATAAGTCGCTGGCGGCGCGCAATGGATGTGCCTGCTGCCTACGGGAATTACTCTGTTCCCTTTTAATCCGTTACCTACGTTGAAATATATTCACAGAGTATGGCGAATTTATATCAGTCGAGTAGAGATTTCCATGAGAAAGTACATACAAAATGGGGTTTGATTAAAGATTTATTTCGTGTTTAAAAATGCGCAATTAATTCATTAATCAATAAATTCATTAATCAATCACTCATTACGCCCTCATCTTCATTATGTTCCTTAATTGTTTGCGAAACAGAAACGAAGCGAAAAATAAGACCAGATTGATGAGAAATTGACTTACCATTATCCAAGGACTTGGTTTCCCTAGTTGAAGCGACTAGCGCTCTCCTTGGTTCTTGCGCCTCGGCTTTTGACTCGAATTCCCTTTTACGAACGGCAACGTTTGGTACGCTACGTTTGTTCGACAACCTCGATAGTTCGCTCTTGTAAAGACTGGTCCGATCGCCAGTTGGTTCGTCATCATCGCTCAACAATCGTCCAGATTCAAACTGCTTCGCGCGTTTCGATACAATTTGAAGCCCTTGGGGTAGCGTCGGGAATTTGTCGTTCGCCACTTTCTTATCCGGACCAGGCGACGAAGGCAGGGACGATGCACCGTTCCTAGCATCTATCGCTTGACGATCACCCGCATAAGATAGGAAACTACCAACATTGGCAATATTCTCTTGTATTCTCGACAGTGTTCCAACGAAGTTGTTCGACTTTCCAGTACTTCGATGCTTATCCCGGTCACCCTGTTCCTTCAAATCGGAACGATTTTCGTAAACAGCAGAGGAAGCCACCATTGGCTGACGATGTGCGTGGTCGAAAGAGTGCATCGTGTTAGGAGACTCTTCGATTTGATCGCTTCGAGAAGCAAAATATTCCGCTTCTGCGGACGAAGTCCCGTTTTTATTTTTCGCCTGTTGAACACTCTGACTCAAAGAGGATTTATCCGCTGGTAATTTCCCTGCAAACACCCGGTTTTGGTCTTGTACGACCCTCGAGAATTGTTGATCTGGTTTCAAATCACTCGGTGGCCAAATTTGCTTTTGGAGTTTCTGCGGTCTCGCATAGAATTCCCGGGGAATCACGCTTGTACTCGAACTAGCGTTGCTCCGAATCGGAGACTCGGGTCTATCTTCTTTTTCGGGTAGAAACCAACCGATCGGGTGGCTTGGTCTCCGTAGAAATTCCTCTTTCTGCTCGAAACTCTTTCGTAACCTCGTCATAATGACGGAATCATCGATGCTCGTGTTGATGGTCGAATCTGAGCCAGCGCCAGTGCTCCCATTGTTCGTTTTGTACCCGTACAAGTTACCATTTCGATTCTCGTTTTTAGCTGGATTTGTTCCGTTCCTCAGCATCACGTCATAGGAGGACGGATCGTTGACGCGCGCGGGAGACGAATCCCTCCTCGAATCGATGCTGAATCTGGAGCCGGGCTCGCATGATCTGAGAGCGTCCGCGCTAGCGTAACTGGCTGTATCCAAATTGTTTATCGTCCAATTACTCGTACTACCTTCGCTGGCGCGACGAGAATTCGTTCTCCTCGCGGCCAACCTGAAAGTAGGTACTTGCGGTTCTGCACGTGATAATGGAAACCGCGACAAACTTGAATGCTGAGACTGGTAATACTGTTGATGCTGCTGCTGCTGTCGTTGCGGCGATTGTTGCTGTTGATGATGATGTTCCTCCATGCTCGTCCGCATCGGTTCTTCGAGTCGCACACGTTCGTATATCGGATCCTTGATCCTATCGTAAATCTGATCACTGTTGGTCCTCGAGTAGATCGACTCGGAACGCGTTCTATCGTAAACTTCGTATGGTTTATCATACGGTTGCGCGCTAGTCGAACTCGAAACCCCTTTCACCGGTTGTTGTTGCTGCTGCTGTTGCTGATTCCGCAATCTCGTTTTATCATCCACTGGTTCGTAGCGGCTAGCGATAGCTGCTTCTTGCGTAGGTTTGCTACGATACATCACGTTTCTCGCCATCTGCGGCTGCATTTTACTATTGTTGCCGCGAACCTGCTCAGTTTCTTTGGAAAACTCGTTCGGTCGAATTTCCGGATCCCAGCCAGAAAGTCCTTGGTCAATCAGTGATGGATCATGGTCTTGATACGGCAACGGCATTGAACTAGATGCTGAACAGACCCAAGATTGCCTCGTCCTTGGCGACAGACCAGGGATCATACTAGCCGATCTACGCTGCCTGCGACAACTCCTTTCTGGGGAACGCAATCGCGGTCGCTGATTCGTTTCGGGATTGTGAGCAGTCTCGCCAAAATATCTTTGCAAGATATCGTCTTCCTTCGAAACCACCAAAAGACGTAGCCACGGTCCTGCCTGCTGGATACGCTGTACCACCTTCGCGTACTGTTCACCACGCGTCGGTTTCCCGTCGACAGATACTACCCGATCACCCGTGCGTAATCCCGCTTCCGCTGCCGGTGAGTTAGGACGCACTTGTTTCACGAATATGGTGTCCATCGGCTCGTCGATATTCGTTCGCTCGTGGCCTGGCAGAATCTAATAAAACGCGACAATCTCTCTAAGTAAAGGAACATGCAAATGCCCATAATCAAGAAAGAAGAGTACAAATGGAATACTTACGCAACAGGCCTCTGGCGGATAAACGATAAAATGACGTAGAGTGAAACCGAAGCCATATTCGCTACGGCGTAGCAATAATGTTCGGGGACCTCGTGGCGGTGAATCGTCTCGCTGGACAGTTCCGGTTGCCGATATTGTACCGCCGATCGCTATCGCTGTCTCGATGCTCGGGCCTGTCGCAGCCGTCGGTGCCGGAAGCGGCGGCAAGTTAGCTTCTTCTGTCTGAAAGAAAATAATCGAGTTTATGTAAAGAAACAGAAGAAACGAATTCCTATAGTCGTGCCCATATTCACCGCGAGAATGAAACGCGAATGAAGGAAGAAACCGAGCGAATAGAAGAGGAAGACGAATACATTGGATATTTTTATAAGCATTCAAGGCTTCCGGATGTAAACCGTAGAATAGTCTCAAGTCACAACATGGTAATCGACAAAATACAAGAATGACTTTGGCAACGATGTTAGAAAGTTGCTCATTCTCCACGAAGGGTAAGAAAACTAGGAACCGAGAAGCAATCCTCCTCTATTCTCGCTTCTTTTCTCGCCTCACCTCGTCTCGCACGAAAGTCCGTTTCCCAGCTTCGCTCACTAAAATAAACCGAATCAAAGTTTGGCACGATCGTTTGGTTTTACGTACCGTGTGCGGCTGCCCAACCGACTCTTGGGAATTATTTCGGTCCTCGGACATTGTGCTGTTTCCTGAAAGCACCCCAGAATTCAGGTGTAAGTTCAGCAACGAATCGTATCATTAACGAAGGCGGTGTATCAAGAAGGAAAGGATAATCGATTTCAATTTGCCTATTTGTTTATTTATCGATATTTTTAAGACGTAAAACGACATAATGTAAAACTGTCTATGTCACGGTAATTGTGGAAAATGTAGTGCATATTCGAGAGATATAAAATTAGTCGCCTTGTTCGATACGCTTTTTAATCACACGTATATCACAGTTAAGTGTCCCATACATAAGCCATACGATACATACACGTGCTTATCGGTAGGTATTAATACGCGTATACGTATACGTATAGGTACACTATTGCATCGGTCGGCTGAGCAACGAGCATTCTACTTTCTCTGTAACGCGACATACTTTCTTCGGATCCGAACAATATCGTTCGGGCTCACTTTTTCCTCTTTTTCTCGAGTCGATTTCGTTTACACGTAACGATTCGCGCGCGTCTACCTTGACAATAAAATTTTCGACAACGTGTTTTCTATCGTGGAATGTAAGTATAGATAGACGATCAATTTATCGATTCGTTTCCTTAATAGAATACCCGACTACTTTATTCTCTCCACCGATAAGGAAACGATCGTGTACTTCTGCGCGTAACAGAGATTCCTTTCAGACATCTAAATATACGCTCGGCTTGCCTATTCGTATTAGCGGTGACCGAAATATCGTTAGCCGTTTATTAAGTTGTGTCACAAGTTTCCTCGTGTTTCCATTATCGATTTTTAACAAAATTTCATTTTTCACTTGTCAAAATTAAATTATCTCTCAATTGTTCCTCTCGTTCGTCTTTGATGGGATAACTGAAATTGTTCAATGAAATTAATGCGACGCGACGGTTAAAAAATGGTAAAAGCGAAACAATCAAAGAAAAATACAGCAACTATAGATTTAATTCGAGCAACGTGTGCTTCCACTTTCTGCATTCATTCTTCAACAGAATCACAGGCTCCAAAATGATTTGCTCATTTCCAAAAATACGTTTACCGATTCACCGTGCTGATGAACGCGTACCATAAATCGGGTTCGACGTTGTTTAACATTGACGTTCCACGATTATCGTGATAAGCACACGATAAGAAAGTAAGAATGTACATACACACGCCCTATTTGTATCTTTTTCTCTCACTACTCCGCATTTAATTTATCAATCAATTCAGTTTTACTTGGTTCAAAAAAGTGTAAATATATATAAATTTAAAGAGGTAAAAAATAAAGAATTGTGGTAGGAGACGAAAAAAGAGGGAAATGAAGAAAGATAGAGTGGGGTACGTCTGTATGTGTGGGTAGATGCGGAACAAGAGCACACCAGCATCGTCCCCGTATACACAGATACAAACCTCCGTACAGAAAAAAATTTCGCGCATCGAGTGCTTGCAATTCACAGCGCCCCTGTTGCCTTCGCTTCTTCGGACTTCCTTCCACGATATTAACACCGATTGCAAATCAATTGACGTTACGAGACGAGGCTGTGTTCGTCCCTTTTACTTCCCGGTTTACTTTCAGAAGGTTGATCCAGGCCGATTATACACGGACCTGCCGCCGATGATGGAAACCGAAGTGCTTCCACCAGGACGCACGCCATCAAAAATGTTTCGGCGAGCAATAAATCTCGTTTTCGAGCACATAATCCTATTTTATATTTTGAAACGAAGCACAGAAAAGACACCTTTCACGTTGATGCACCTTCAAACGACCGTAAGCATGGGTCTCTTAGGAAGACAGATGATCCATGCACACGATACAAACGACACGGTACACATAAAGTAACAATTTGGCACTGGGAGATCACTGTTCGTCGCTTTGCTCGAACTTGAGATCGAGCAGTAGTCATGAGATTAAATAGCAGAAACGCATCTAACGTCAATCGACTTCGACGCTTCGAGTCAACTCGTATGCGCGCGATAGGTTATAAGTAGAAGGATTTTAGGCAAGTACCCTTCCATTGATTCGTACACGGTGAGATGTGTAAAGTCCAATTGCTTGAACGGACGCTGTGGGATATTGATGCGGAAGCAATTAACTTGAACCGTTCACGACATTAGAAGATACTACACTACTCGGCACAGTAATATGGCGGCCAAAGAGAATCGAGCGCACTGACCGTGGTAAAGTCTGCAAGAGAGAAGTCTTTCGCGGAAAACGGTATGTAGCAACCTGTGACGTACGTTATCGATGCAGTCGTACACCTTTCTCGTAATTTAATTTCTACCGAAAGAGAAAAAAGTGTCACGGAACCACTTTTTTGCCCGTCATTATCCTAACCGTCTTCCTTTACTTTTCACCTCTTTTTCTTTCTGCTTTTCTTCCTCCTCTTTCCACTGCGGGCCATCCTCATCTCCCCACCCTCCCCACCATTCATTGCCACCAGTCGCTCTTTCACATCCCTTCTCTAAGCGTCGTCCAGGACTCTGATCCGTATACTGGCGTCATCTACGGGTTCAACGAATTTCATATTTTACTCCAGTTTACCAGTTAAACGGCGATCGTCGACAACGAGGCTATCTACCTTCTGGTACTGGTCAATCTTAATAAAAAAATCAACATCAAACTCAACTCTTGACGATGGGAACGGCCGGATTTTGTCAAAAGCATGTAGCGATTAATTGACGCTGGCGAAAACCTTTTTATACAGAAATTGTAGGCACTGATGTCCTCTACAAGAAAGATTCTATGTATTTTTCTTCTAACTTGAGTATTTAACGAGTTAAGTATGATTATTTGGCATTTTATTGGCATTGACGAAATTCGACCGACCCACCGTCGAAACATCGAACTTTTGACAAAAAATTTCATTTCTCCTCAATAACTCCTAAACCATTGGACCTACTGAAAAATTGCACCAGACCTTTCTTATAGAGGACGATGAGATCTACAATTTCCGTATAAAACTTTTGCGCTAGCATCAATAGTTTACGAGTTATTGACGAAAAACAAAAAAACAGTTTTTTGCAAATTACTCGGAAACTATTAACACTAGCGACAAACTTTTATATAGAGATTGTAGATCTCGTCGTTCTCTACAAGAAAGGTCCAATACAATTTTTCCGTAAGTCTAGCGG